AATCATCCCTGGGAGCAGCAGGAAAGATGTGCAATTTGTATCTCACTGTGTCAAAAGTGCAAAGCTTAGGCCTAAATGCTGCAAGTTCAGATAATATACAATGAAGTAGTGACAGATGAGTTGTTATAAAGAAATACAAATCCATGTAACTACTGAACATTTAGGCTATTTCGGCAAATAAAGAACTATACCTGTTCAATGCCTATTTGAAAACATCAATTTCTTTGGCTTTTTCAATACTTTTTCTTGTATTGATTGCAGTAGGGTAAAAATATAAAACAGGTGGATACAATGAAATATCAAAGAAATAAATGTGTCTAGGCTCAAGTCACACACGTCAAAGCACTCCCTTGCTTTACCACTTCTAAAGCTTATCAATCCAACCATCCAGAAGTCATCACTATGGTGTCTGAGCACCTGTTGTACATCCCTTTATTAGTCAGTAATCCAGATTATTCTTTACACTCCTAACTCTCTGGCACTGGGATTTTAAGCGTAGTGTAAGAGGCACTGTACCTTGACATTTTTGAATCTTGGCTGCTTTGGCCTCAGCTATCCGTCTATCCTCATCAGATTCACTAATTTTTCCTTCTTCCTCCGGGCAACTTTAATGTTGAAATGCAAACAAAGGCAGATAAAGTAAAATCTGTATATATCACACACATATAGAAATTTTTCAGACGAAAAAATTAAATACAACGTTAACAACTTCTGCTCTAACAGAGAAGCAGACGCTTCTGCAGCTTCTTTTAAAATATTAAGTAGTTCAAAACTAAGCTCTTTGTTTCTCTTCACCATAGTAGGACTGCCAAAAAAAAAAAGGAACACTACAGCTGTGCAAATATTTCATAACAGATCTTCAAACCTGGCAAATACTCAGTCCAACCTTAGTTCACTGAGATTTGCAAATTGGGCAAAGATTGAGACCATACCTACTTCTGTGGGCTAATAGTATGCCTTGACCCTTCCCTCCAATGTCTTTAAGAATGAATGGATGGCCCCCTCATAGCTGTGGTACTGTGAAGATATTTGGGGGGATTATGAGGAACAGATTTATCTTGTCAACTAAACCTGAGGCAGCAGGCCAGCTGGCCATCCCAAGAAGATATGAGGGAGATTTCCCAAGGACATGAGACGGTCTAGAGGTCTACAGCACCCCAGAATATCTTGAATACCAAAGACTAGGGAAAGGGAACCTGAGCTGGCTTGCACATGAAGTCTCATAGGGGAAGGGGAAGGGTATACAGCTTCTGACGGAAACTCTGAAAAACTCAGCTGTTTGGCCAAGTTTCACTCTGAGGTTTTGGGGTTTACTCAAAGAAAAAAATCCATTTCACCACAGAAACATACGGGTGACTCCAGTGAGTATTTGGCAATGAACTAACAGAGTATTGGGAGCCAGATACTGATGTCAAATGAACCTGAGTCCACTTATGCCATTGCTGAATTTGGCTGTGGGGTGAAAATCCACGTGAAACAAAACCAACAAGCAAAATGGCTTGCTGAGCCCCATGCAAGCCTGAACTGACAGGCTTGGCACAGCTCTAGTGATATACAATTCCTGCCATAAGACATGTGCCTTCTTCGCATGGTAAAAAGAAATACAGACACCTTCCTATACCTTTCCACTGCATCTTGAATCTGCCTCATCCAGTTATTGCGTTCTTCTTTAGAATTTGTATGAATCTCATACATCTCAGGCCCTGCAGATGAAGCACTAATCAGAAACATCCCTCTTTCTTCATTGGCTACCTCTCTTACTATCAGCTTCTGAAGGGATATAACCGAAGGCTTCTGGTCCTATAGAAAATAATCAACACATGCAGAAGAAAAATTATCCTATTACAAAAGATAAGCATTTTTAAAAGCACAATTGTTACTTTTTCAAATTAATCTTAGTCTTGACTTTTATGGTCACACTAAGTGGATTTTGCCAAAGATCAGCTGGTGGACTCAAGTTTTGAATGATCAGGCAAACAAATATTCTATCAAGTATTCCTTTCAATAGTCAAATTATGATTTATTTTACACTGTCCTTGGGATAAATTATTGGGCTAAAACTGGTGTTTATATGTTAAAAAATGTGACTCTGTAGTATCATATAGACTACTTGTGTTAGTAATAATGTTTGTCTTTTTCCCTGATGTCTAATTGCATAGGCTTGTGTAGAGTTCCTCAAGGGTAAAATTTTCAAAACCATCCAAGTGATTTAGAAGCCTAAATCCCATTGATTTTCTATGAGATTTAGGCTCCAAATTCATGTAGATGCTTTTGAAAAATTTACCCACAGACATTTTATATATTTGACATATAATGTATTTATTACTATCGTTGCAATTAAAATAAATCTTCAGTTTTGCTTTACAGATTTTAAATTTACTTTTATAAAAAACTACAAGAACCTGCTCTATTATGGACCTTCATAATCAGGTGAGACACAACTTAAAAATAATTTCTCCCCTCTCTTTTCTGCTCAACTCCCTCTTCTTAAAAAAGACAGTTACCTTTTCCATAACTGGTGTTCTTCAAGATGTGTTGCTCATGTCCATTCCATATTAGGTGTGTGTGCTCGCCACATGCACTGGTGCCAGAAGGTTCCCCCTCAGCAGTATCCGTAGGGGTGTGGCTCTGGCGCCCTCTGGAGTGGCACCCACATGGCGCGGCACAAGGGGCACCGCCAGCTCCCCTCACCCTCAGTTCTTTCTTGCATGAAACTCCAACAGTGGGGAAGGAGGGTAGGTCATGAAATGGATACGGTGGCCCCCGGGTGTTTCTGGGACAGGCCTGACCCTTGCACTGTGTCAGGGTCGGGTACAGCCTCACTGCTGAGTCCCTGTCCTGGGGTAGGGTGTGGGGAGGCTGCAGGGTAATCTCCCACCTCCATGCAACCAGTGGCCTGTGCTCCCTATTGCCATGTTGGAGCCTCCACATTTATTTATTGACAAACAACATTTGCAGAATTTTAAAATATTGTGCGCAGAATTTTTAATTGGTGCAGAATCCCTCCGAAATATGGAGTGCTGTGCAGCTGTGCTGGTGGGACTGTGAGGAAGGTGGTGAGCAGTGGGGAGGTGTATGGGCGGGGAGTGCTGGGTGAGCGGTGTGGTGTGCAGGATGCTATGCAGTTGTGGTAGGAGGTCAGCAGGGGAGGTCTCTGGGAGGGGTGGGGGCTGGGCATAAAGATCTGTGGTGGAGGTCTCTGGGCGAGGGGTCGCTGGGCATAAGGGTGGGGCACTGGGCAGGGGAGTGGTATGGTGCAGGCCTGCCCTCAAGGGGAAGGGGCATGCTGGCAGCACAGGGCAGTTGCAGGTTTGTAAACAGTGCCCTCCTGCTGGGCTGTGTGGAGCAGGGCTGCTCCTGCCGCGCTGTGCCTCATTGCCCCCAGCCCGCCCTTCACTATGGAGACTGACCATCCCGCCACCTGCACCTTGCCCCATGGGGGCCCACAGATATGTTTGGCACCGGACCCACAAAAAGTTAATCCAGGCCTGCAGGCAAGGAACGGGGTGGGCTGCATCGCTCGACGTGAGCTGAGGCCCTACTTCCCGATGGGGGAGATGAGCGACCTGGCGTGGGTCTTAGCTCACCCCCAGCCCTGTCCTTCCCCTTGCAGGGAGTAGGAGACCGTCCCCCACCGGCCTTCTTTGACTTCTTGGCTGGAGCTGTGGATGGGGATCAGTGCTGGCTTGTCAATGGCGCTGGCGGGGCACTACGCACCGATGCCCTGGTGTTGGGTGCTGAGTTGGACCTTTGTTTTGGGGTCGGAGTGAGTGCCGACTCCATCAGGAGCACTTTGAGTCTGATCTCACGCTCTTTCTTGGTCCTAGGTTTAAAGGACTTGCAGATTCGACACTTATCACTTATGTGCCCTTCACCAAGGCACCTGAGACAGCTACTATGCGGATTGCTCATGGACGGGGGCCATTAGCAGTGATTGCAGGGCTTAAAGCCTGGGGACCAGGGCATGCTCTGTCCCCTGCCTAAGTCCCCAACAGGACTAACAAAACTCTAACGACTGCTAAGGGCTAACTAACTCAATTACTAACTATGTACACTAACTTTACAAGAACTCTAGTTCGTACGAACGACGCCTAAGCAACGCTAGTAAGAGCGGCGAACGTTCCGTGCACAGTCACTGGCGACAAGAAGGAACTGAGGGTGGGGGGAACTCGTGGCGCCCCTTATACTGCACCATGTGGGCACCACTCCAGAGGGCACCAGAGCCATTCCCCTACGGATACTGCTGAGGGAAAAACTTCCGGCACTGGTGCATATGGCGAGCACACACACCTACTATGGAATGGACATAAGCAAGCACTCGAAGAACAACATATACTTTAACTTTGGAAATAATCTTAGTTTTCCATATACAAATACATTTTTGCTCAGACAAGATTCCCAGCACCAGAAAAAAAAATCAACGTTACGATCAGTATAATTGGATAACAAAACCTAGAAGAGCATCTAACTTTTAAGAAACGTGCAAATAAAATAGTTAAAATACATATTAAAAATGCTGTTTATATACTTACAACAGCTGCAAATATATATTTTTGGTCTTTTTCTTGTAAAAACAGCAGCACATCAGTTAGAAGCAGGGCTAAACTGTCTTTAAAAAAAAGAAAGTGGTTTTAATGAAAGATATCACAATCAATTTCTCCTTTTAACCTGAAGACAAATCTTGATCAATGAAAAAAGTTAAGAATTTTTACAGTAAACTGCAACAGAGGATCCTGTGGCACCTTTAAGACTAACAGATGTATTGGAGCATAAGCTTTCGTGGGTGAATGCCCACTTTGTCAGACACATGCAATGCCCACTTCGTCACACACATTCACCCACGAAAGCTTATGCTCCAATACATCTGTTAGTCTTAAAGGTGCCACAGGACCCTCTGTTGCTTTTTACAGATCCAGACTAACACAGCTACCCCTCTGATACTTACAGTAAACTGAGTATGAAATATCTGCATCTCATCACAATCTGCCAAAAGCAATTTCAGGCTACCGTTTTACAGCTTGTGTGAACGACAGCACTTTTAGTTGCCACCTTCCTGCAACAGAATGCTGGATCACTTGATCAGTAAGTACTAACTTGGATGGAAAAACGGGACACTCACCAAATTGCCAGCACTTCTTCCTGAAGTGACTAGGTGTTCTTTAGAGAAATTGCATCCAAGGACAGACTCATTCTAATTTATTTTCTTGTTACTGATGCTAATGAGGCTTGATATAATCACAGCACAAGGAAATATGGGTAAAAGCATTTGTGCATTTTTTTCTAATTTATAAGCTAAACCATGAATAGATGGCTTTTAATGGGATGTTAATGACAGCAAAAAAGAAAAGTATGTATGATTAAACACTGAAGACCAAATTCTGCTCTTAGATGTACATATGTGGCTCCAGTTGAATTTGCTCCCGAGTTTTCTTCTCAAATGAAGGTGTTGCAAGTGCAGGTGAGTGTGATTTTGACACCAGAGGCCAAAATCAAATGTGAAGTACTGGGTGGTGTAAATGTACATGTCAGTATGACATGAGACAGTGTGCGCATAAACTGCATGCTATGGGTGCAGAGGGGTAGGTTTGCAGCAAGAAATGCAAATAGCAGCAGAGTGCAAGGATCTTGTGTGATTGGTTATATCATGTCTGAATTTGGCTCCATGCCTAGGTGTACTGTGCATCACATACAAACCACAACACGTTCTGGAATTATCATGTCAGCGATTGGCAGCATTTCTTGTTCCTTTATGGTACCTTAAATTCCACTACCACACGAACTCACATTTGTGAACTATTGTTACAATTTATTTTATCTTTTTAACCCAAATGTTAATCTTTATATATTATTTGCAAATAAAAGGCTATGGAATTTCTTTGCAAAGATGTGGTACCTTTGAAACGTCCAGTAGCAGTTTTCCAATACACCAAACCTTCATGCAAAAGTGTCCTCTCTTTCTTTTTCAGGTCCTGCTTCCTGAAAACATGGCCATTTTTCAGTTTGGTATAAGTTTTGTTTTCAATCTTATTGAGAATCTCCAGCAATTTTTGCCTTTTCTCATATTCATTGACTTTCAAGTCTACTGCTGCAATCATGTCCTTAATCAGGCAATGGGCTTTGCATAAGTCTTTATGCTCTTCTGTTCCTTCTGTATGAAACAAAGAACAGACAACATTACAGTATTCACCCTATTCAAGAGATGACATTTTTCCTGATTTTATATGATCTGCCTAACACAGTTTGAGACTTAAATCAACTGATATGTTGTAAACAGACCTGGGAAATTAATTTCTGATAAGTAATTTATTAGAAAAATATTGTCTTTTTTGTATTTGATATATGTCCCTGAGCAGTTTGTAATTATCTCAGATTTATTCAATAGTTTCCGCAAATAATTCATATACTGTTGTTCCTTTATAAGCAATTCACTTGCAGTATTCAAAATTTAGATTATACACATAGATCACATGGCATGTTGTGTCTCCTGACTGGATGAAAATAACATAGAATCTGGTTTACAGCATGAATCGTTGCATATTCTCCATTTTTGCAAATATGCCTGTCAGTTTATTGGTCACTAGAATATTCAAAGGCGGCACAGAAAGAATAGAAGCAACTTTGTATGACTATTAATGAAAAAACATTTTGTAATATTTTATGGCCCAGCACTATTTATGAGACACTTCCTTGGATTCATTTAAATAGTTTTCCAGGCTTAGTCCCAAAAAAGTTCCATATCTGACATTCAAGATCTTCTGCTAAAACAATTAGATTCCTCTGAATTTTGAGGCTTATCTGAACCTGACCTCTGAAACTTTTAAAGTCTGCCCATTCTTAACAAATATATACGCCAGACATACTGTTTGGGTGACATTTACCCTGTGTAGACAGCTTAAGTGGTGCACACAGGCTCTCAGCACAATTGCAAATTTCACGCTGTGGGACTATGTTGCATACATTATGCAAGAGATGTATTAAGGTTCCAGATTTGTCTCTGATATGAGGCAAAATTGAATCTATTACTCACCTTTTGAGTACTGTAGTATCCTTTCTACCAGAACTGGGTATTTTGTGATGCGCTGAGTGACAAGCAGAATGCATTCTGGGATTCCTCGACGTCGAGCCAAAAGATTGCTATTTCGCAGCTTTAAAAATAATTATGCATATTTTATTGTAAGTAGGAAAGTTACACTAAAATATTAATTTACTAGCAAAAGGCATTAGATCTACATGTGCTAAATAAATTGAAACTGAAAAAAAAATGTTAAATAATCTGCACTATCCAGTGTGAAATGGGAGTATCAAGATGATATCTGACAATTATTGAGTCTATATCTACAGTTCCAATTAATGCTGAGAAAGTGCAAATTATATACAAAACCAAGCTTTACATTCATTATCTGTGCCTCATTTGATATATAATCCTTTGTTTAGTGTGGAGATCTTGCCTATACAGTCAGAGGTAGTTTAGCTGGATGTCTGAATGATATAATTTATAATTGATGAGGTGGCTCATAACTGGAATGTGTGTGTATTACAGACTGATGTTCTAATCTAAACAAAAATGGAATTTACCAGCTCTCTGATTGAGCAGGATTCTCTGTTTTTTAATAAGCTATTGCAATAGATCTATTAAATACCATGGACCTGATTCTGAAAGGGAACTCAATCCAATTTCCCACTTTGCACCTACAATTATTTGTGCCCACAAGATTGCATGAATAAAATGGGAGGTTACTTCCTAAAATCAGGCCCTGCGTTGTTTAAATCAGAACTACAAATTATGAACATGTTTTCTGGCCACTTTGTTAACAACAGTCATATTTTTGTAAGCACTTACTTTAATAAAATTCTGGAACTTCTTGTTTTGTTGCAGCTCTTTAAAGAGATTAACAGCTTCTTTTTGATGACTACAAAATTCTCCATATATTTTCTTGATTTTATTGGCATTTTCCTCTGAAAACTGATGAAAATAATAAAGTTGTACTCAACAATAAACCTAACTGTAGAGTATGTTTAAGGATTTTTGCATACTATTGATTGTAACTTCTATTGATGTTAATGGAAATAAACCACATACGGGATCCTGACACTGCATCCTATAAATCAATGGGAGTTGTAATCTCCATAAGGAATGTAGAATCAGGCCAATAGAGGCTGGAATATATATAGCAGATTGACTGTAAAAACAACTACGCACACAAGTAAGGTGAATTGGATGTGGTCTCATATATTTAATTTTAAACCTCAAACAAATCTCCTTAGATCTGCCATTAATATTACCTTAGTTTAATAAAACAGAGAATTTTAGAAGTCTACTTGTTTTAACCATTATTTGTGCTGTCACTTTCAAGTACAGTGTGCAGTGTTGTGGTAGTCACGTTGGTCCCAAGATATTGGAGAGACAAGGTGGGTGATGTACTATCTTCTATTGTACCAGCTTCTGTTGGTGAGAGATACAAGCTTTCAAGCTTACACAGAGCTCTTCTTTAGGTCTGGGAAATGTACACAGAGCATCACAGCTAAATAAAAGATGGAACAGACTGTTTAGCATAAGTAGTTAGCACATATTTCAAGGGACAATTCAAGGTGAAGTGGCCCATTAACATCGTTCCAGCGGGGAGAAAGCTGGGGATGGGTAGGGTTAAGTGTGTTATGGATAGTTGTAATAAGCCATAAATCCAGTGTCTCTATTCAGTCCATGATTTTTGGTATCTAGCAGAATTATGAATTTAAGCTCCCAGGTTCATTTTTTGCAGGTTTCCTCTGAGGATGAGGACAGATCAGCCATAGAGTGATCATTTTGTGAAAATGTTCACCCACAGGTGATATAGTGTTTTTGGCTTTTATCATTTTTCTGTGTGAGTTCACTTGAGAGTGCAGTGATTATCTGGTTTCACCCACATAGTTGTTATTGGAGCATTTAGTGCACCGATGAGGTACACCACACGTTGTGATAGGACCCATGAATCTTGGACAGTGTATTGATCGTTTGTAGCGCATTGGAGATATGTCTGCAGGTTTTGCATCTGTTATTCTGGCTAGGTCAGGTGCTACTTTGAGTCCTGGTCTGTGGGGAGCTTGCTTCTAATGACATGTTTGGCAGGGTTGTTTGAAGGCCAGAAGAGGAGGTAGAGAAAAAGTTTCTTTCAGAATGTCCCCACCAAGTATGGATCATAACTGTTTGAAGATAACCCATATGGCATAGGGGCTGGAAGTCGGGGTGCTGCACCTGGCTTAAAGCTGTTTCCATCATCTACAGGGTTTATAGTTTGGTTCAATGGCTCTCAGCACCCACGCTATACAAACTGTTCCAGCACCTTGTCATATGGGTTCCAGTGTGGGGAGCTAGGTGACAACTAGAGATGTGAGGTCGATGGGGGTTTTATTTCATACTGAAGCAGGTTCTCTCAGGGTATTTGGGTGGCCCATTCCATGATGCTACTTACTTCTCTGGTGGATTGTCCTTGTTTGGTGAAGGTGCTTTTAAATGTGTTAAGGTATATACCCCAGACTTTCTCCTCAGACCATATTCTATGATTTGAGTGCCAGGCTGTAGATAACATGATTTCTTGGTGTGTTTAGGGTGGTTACTGGATCTGTGAAGACAGGTGTGGTGATCTGTGGGTTTCTTGTATACAGCTATCTGTAGTGTTCTATTGTTGAAGCAGATTATGATATCCAGGAACTTGATGCTAATTGGGGAGTGTTCTAGAGAGAGTTTAATGGAAGGGTGGTAGTGATTGAAGTTGCAGTGGAAATCTATGAAGGAGTTTAGGTCATCTAGCCAGAGGATGGAAATATCATTGATGTACCTCAGGTATATCATTGGTTCTGTGGTGCATTTGTCCAGAAATTCTTCAAGATGGTCCATGAAGAGGTTGGTAGATTGTTAGATACTTTGCTAGATACTAAAAATCAGGGATTGAATAAAAACACTGTTGTAATGAGCCAAAAATCCAATCTACAATCCATTTATCTCCCTCCCCCGCCACTCCCCGCCAGCTTTTTTTCCCCTTTCCCCATTATGACTGGAGAGGTGCTAACGAGTCACTTCACCTTGAATGATCCTTTAAAATATGCATTATGCTAAACAATGTATTCCACCTTGTATTTAGATGTGACACTGAGTACATTTCCCAGACTTGAAGAACTCTGTGTAAGCTTGTCTCACCAATAGAACTTGGTCTAATAAAAGATATTACTTCACCCACTTTCAAGTACAGGTCAACACATGCAGCAGTAGCACAAGCTGCCCCATATACCCTGGCCAACATATATCAACACTGTTCTGGAAGACCCTCTTCAAGAGATGAGAGGATAATTCATTCTTTCAATCCTTTGCCTGTCTAACAACTGTGTCAGCTAGTGTCAGTTTTGGTGGTAGATTAAGTGATGGGAGCAACTGTCCATTATGAACTTGACTCAGACCATCAATACTCAAATAGATTATGAAAACTGTCATCAGTGTTTTTTTCCACCACATCATCAATAATTTTCTCACACTACAAGAATTTGAAGCAATAACCAAGAGATGAAAATCTTTGCATCCTATTAGCCAATCCTAAGAGATCTAGTTATCTCCCTTCCCCATAAAAATTTTGAATTCCACAAATATCTTTTTTTGGCCTTGAATATGTGAAGATTTAATTTTGCTGATCTCTTTACCTGCTCCACAAGGATGTCTCCAATTCTGTTGATTACAAAATTTCTCTCATTTCCCCCCTCACACGATTCCTGTCTTCTCTCCTTCATAGTGCAGAAGAATTGCCTGTGAATCTCTAGCAATTCATCTAAGCAGGGAAATATTTTGTCTACAGTGCTGTGATCTAGTTGCAATTCTTCTTTCATTCCTTTCCTGAATATTTCAGACATAATGAAGAGGGTGTGGATGTGATGCACTTCTGTTTGCATCAGCTCTGTAGTTTAAAGGAAGACAGTGCAGTGTAATAATCCAACCAGACATTTTCCCTCACATTATTTGACATGCATCACATAGTTTTACATTCAAATATATGGACATAAATACGATTTCTTCCATTATAAGCATTAAAACTAATAAAACAGCCCCGGCTATGGTTACATGTGCTCTCCAACCAGCACAGTTCCTCTTTTACCATTTCTGCCCCATGGCACAAATTTTGGGTCTGAAGGAGGCAGAGAACGAAGAGGACAATGCACGTGTTTGCATGCAGAGAGCAGAATACCATTTTCACACAGGAAGGATCTCTATGCAGCTACTCTGCAAAAAGCTCCTCTGGCTCCCTCTACTGCACTATACTGACCAATACAGCATCAGAGACCAAGTCAGCAAAGCCACAGTAAAAAATATCGAACTCCAATTCTTGTCTTGCCTTTGTTAAATTATTCACCATAGTTTGACTTTAACATCAAATAGTTAGAACTTACTGAACTTACTGCGCTAATGCAAAGTGTGTCAACTCAAACATGGAAACTCCCAACCTCTACAATATTAACAACTTACATTAAACTTAAATCTTTTAAGTCCTAGTAGTAAACATTAGGAATCATATCTAACCGAATACCAAGATTCTTTACATTAGTTTGCTCTGTTTGCACACTAATACACAGGCATCACTAATTCAGTGAGTCTGAAGTCCCTGGAAGATTACTTCAGTAAGAACTTAATAAAACCTTGAGTAAGGATCTCCAAACTGGCCCCAGAATGTTTTTTTTTAAATACCAATTTTCTGCAAAGAATATTATTATTTTCAGTTTATCTATGAGTCTGAACATTGATCTTCGATATTTTATTCTTACAGATACCTACACTAGCTTTCTCTTTCAAATCACTTTTTATTAAAGATTTATTTAATACTGAACATTTAAGCATTTTAGGAACTTCATTTTGACTTATGAAGAATAAAAGGTAAGTAAACAAGAGAACCGAGGAAATAATTTGCAATGAGTAATTTAGGGAATTCATGTCACTTTTTCCCCCACAAACTGTTAGGGAAAAGTTGTGAACTTCTCAAATGTATTATTTACTCAAAATTATTTGTAACTTTCTTTAGCAAATAATTCTTTGGTCTGCAGTTCATCCGTAAACAATTCATCACAATTATTTGTATTTCATGTTGTGTTGGTTAGTTACATAAAGCATATTGTAGAATTTCTGTTCCCTGACTGGATGATTTACATATCTATCAAACAGTGCAAATTGTGAATTTTATAATTGAGTATATAATTCAAAATTTGTTTTTCATTACTATTCCCACATTTGAGTTTAAAATTCACTTTTCAGGAATATATATGCTAGTAAAGTTTCAATACTCAAGTGTTCACAAAAGGTGGACATGAATGGGTCAAGAATACGGTTAAATTGAAATTAACTTTCAAAACCAAATGAATATTTTTAGGCAATTGGCTTCAATATTCTGATAGTTCTACATTTACGTTACATTATTATTTGTGACAACATAGTCTTTAAATATTCTTCATTATTCATATTAAAATCAAAGCACTGAGCATTTTATTCCAGTTATATGATGTGTGTATCCCACCTCATTGCCTGTGCCAAGTTATTTTCAACTTTTTAAAAATAACTGAAACACTGACCAAAAATTACATCCTGCCTTTTGATAACATCCTTTTCTTGCTTGCTACAAAATGCCGGATCCACAACAAGACTCCAAGATTCTGCCTCAAACTCCTGAGCCTCTGTGCTGAGGTCAGTCCACAGGGAGGCATCCACATCATCTATGACAAAATAAAAACCTTGTAAGCACTGGTTGTACAAACAGGTTGGCAGTATCACAGCAAGGGAAGATCCTCATGTGCATGCATGTTTATTCATGCAGTGAGTATACTGCTGAACTGAGGTAAGCCTTAATTAAAGATTCTAACCAGTACTGAGAAAAGATTAAAATGAAAAGACAAAGCCTGCCAGTGATGACAGCATCATTATCTTACACGTTAAAATGTAAATAGAACAGAGTGGAGGCAAGCAGAGATTTGGGGATCAGAGGGAATATTTTTTTCAGGATTGGATCCACTGTTTGAAATACCACCTCAGAAGTGCCCTCTGATTTGAGGTGCCTCAAATTTATGTACACCCAACATGAGATTCCTTGTGCCGGATTTTCTCTCTCTGTGTGAATGCCCTTCAACTCTGGAATTCACACTCCCAACCCCTATTCTGAAATAGCCCACGTATGTTGACTTTCCAGACATGAATGGTGGGTTGAGGAGGGCAGTTGGGAGGTGGGATTTTTGTGTTGTGGGAGGAACATGAGTGATGGGTGATACTGTTTGTAACGTGTGTGCTGAGTGAGGACGGGAGAGGGCTGGCTATCTGAGTGCCAAAATATGAGGCTGTTCGGTTTTGTAATCTCTTTTATATTATATTATATTTTTTAATTAGTGGCAAGGCTGTTGAGAGCCCAGGACAAAAGTTTTTACCTGTTAATTTTTAATAATGACAACAAATTAAAAAAAAACACTCACAATTAGCAAAGAGTTCATCACTAATTTAGACCCACTTGCAAGGTATTATGGGTCAAATTTTAATTCTCATTTATCTGATGTCATCATTTAATGGTGGTCAGAATCATAATTAAGTTACTACACACACATTTTCTTTTGATGTAGGAAGTAGTATTCTTAGACATACTAATTAATGATTCCACTTTGCATTTTGCAGCATAGGTTATAACATGTAGATTTCTCAGTTTACTTCTCACCTTCCATTATAAAAGAATCCATTGATGGAAGGGTCCCTATAGATTGTAGCAGCGTTTCAGCCTGTGAGCTGGATGTCCAGCTGCTACTATCAGTGTCTTGGTCTGACGATGGCATAGATCTTCTGCAATGAAAAAAGCATTTAATTGTAGCAACTCACTTAGGAATGCTGAATAATCTAGTTAGCATACTGTGCTGGTAGCTGCCTCCTACCTTTCAAAACTGGCACTCGGAACACTTTTGGATAAAGAGTGAGGTTGCTGTGAGACTTCTTTCCTTACAGCAGAAAGTCCAACGGGCATTGAGGAAGACGGATGCATTGAGAACAAGGGCTGAGGAATCTCTCTAAATGATGAATCTGTGAAGTGAAATATATATGTAAGTCTTATAGAAAACCTCATATGTTATTGCCTTGTATGACTACAGCATGAAATACTACACAATTCTCTTATAGATTAATACATGCCACTGGGCGTATTCTCTTATGGTGCAAGAGCACTGTGCTCTTTTCTGAGTGGGATGGAAAAACAAGCCACAAGGTGAAGCTGAGTGGCTTTGGTGCCCATGCTGTCAATTAGAGAACAAGCTTAAGCCATGGACACACTTGCATCACACCCATACCTATACTCACACATGGTTGAGCCACACATTGGAGTACATGACAGGGAGGATTTTCAAAAGCACTCAACACTGGCTTACCTCTGCTCTCACAGTGGTAAAACTTCCATCATCCAGCTATGCAGGAGGAAGGACAGGAGACATTGGATGTGATTTAATTAGGCCACAATTATGTCTGGGAGTACCGGCAGATAAAATTGTGCAGTGCAGGTAATTCCATAATCATTTACACATACTTGGTGTGGCGGATGCTGTTGTCAGCCCTCCCCCTTCACCCATCCTGATCCCCATCCAACCTGTTGGGACCTGACCACGTCCCCCAAATGAGATGGTGGTGGGGGATATAAAGGAGTGGGGGATTGACTCCCTGCTGTACCAGTCGTAGGAGCCCCAACCCCGCCCCCATTTCTGCTCCTTTAAAGAATACTTCCTTTAAATCCTTTACCAATCCATTTTGTCTGATCACTGTATCCCTTCCCTATAGAGTACCTGCACTGGATGTCTGCCCCAGGCATACATAAGGAGTTGTGACATCACAGCCTAACCCCCCAATTATTTATTCCCAAACTAAGCCCCCAAATCACTGTGGGGAAAGTGAAAAACCCCCCACCCGACCTTGGCCAATCCAGCAGAGAAAGAGAAAATTCCTTCCCAGCCCCCAGAGAAAGGAGTGACTAGTGTAATGCTCACAGCTGATCATGACAAAACCTTGTATTTATCTACATCCAGGGGTGGAAGGGTGAGTGCTGCTCCGCCTGGTCGAGGTAAAAGAGGACTTTTCCTGCACTGGCACGGACCTAAATAGTCCCCACCTCCTTTCCAGTCACCTGGGGCGCGGAAGGGAGGGGGAAATGGGTCAACATCCCCATGCTAACCGGATATGAAGCTGCCACAGCAAGTCACTCTCTGACTCTCTAGCCCTTAAAGGGGCACACACCTTTTCCAGCCAGACAAACAACAGCCCCCACTGCTTAATATGCATTGAAGTGAATAGGAGAAGAGTTAGACCAATTATGAGTGCTTTCGAAAATCCTACCTTATATATATTAGATACTAACAAATGCACCTGTTTTCCTGTAGATATGGGAGTCACATGGAAAAATGCTCACACACTCATACAAAATTGTGAAGAATACTTGTCCTATTATTTTATTATTCAGGCAATGCACTAAACTTTAAAAATGATAGATTTATGCCTATTAGCTTGCTTGCTTACTATAATACTTACTTGTTAGGGCAGCTTGTGGTCTGGTCTTAATATGATATCTCTCTTGGAATTTCTGGTAAAGAAGAATTTCATCTTATTAAAATGAAATAACAGCTGATTACACCATGAATAGTCAGTAATCTACTTTCATATAATCATCTGGAAGAGCCCTCAAGCAAACTGCATTATGATCCTGTATTTCTGCTACTGACAAACAACCCAAAGTGAAAGGATAATGAATTTCAGCCACATTATCATACAAAATTAATTCAATTTATTTTCTTTCAAATTACTATGTTATTATGTAATTATTCTTTTGCAACATGCATATGATTTGTGAGGGCTTAAAGAAACCAATTACACATGTAGGGCTATACTTTTTAAATGAATTTGAAGAGACCTGAGGCAGGAAATTGACTCTAAGTCAGTCTGTGGGAGCCAGGATTTGTAACCTTTGCTACATTGTACAAGGCTCATATGCTTAAACAAGTGTTGCATTTGAGGAGAGCAAGTAAGGAGTTTTCCCTCTCTTACCCTCTTGATGATTGGTTGGGGATATTGTCTCCTCCTGGTAAATATCCATCAGTCCTAGTAGTTATAGTACCTGTTAGAGGCAGCTGATTTAGCATTATAATTTATGTTTTAGATCCTTTTTGTAAGTTTGCCCAGAGGCTATTCAGTGTCATTGATAAAGACAAAATAAAATAAAATAAAAAATGCATGTTTTATAAGTGCAATGTTGGGCATGTTTACCCTGAAGATCCGTGCACTGCAATAGCTACTCCGATATAGCCACACTGGTGCAAATCCCTTGTTTATATGCACTGCAACAGTTTGAAAAGTGACTTGCATTGGTGCGGCTTACTCCAGTGAAATCACTTGTTAGTCCCTAAAAAACAGAAGCCCCCTTCACTGTACGGTTTTGAAAATGTAGCCCTCATTTTAATTGGGGGTTACCTACTGAGGTATGTTGGTTATTACACTCCAGGGGGCTCTGCTATACTTCAGCTCTACTTGATGATATTACCTACTGTCAGAAGCATTGAAATGATATAGCTCAAGGGAAATCAATGGTTCCTCAAGGCCGGCCCTTTTAGGTACACCTTAGAAATGTAAATCGAACTACATATCCCAATTTATCCTGCAACGCTCCAGAGATATAAAGGAAGTGACCCTACCTGTTTTCACTCCTTTTATAAAGTATTTGCTCAAGGACACTGTTTATTGCTATTGGTTGTGTTAGATGTTTATTTGGCATTCTCTCCGCCCTTTGTGTACAGACACTTGGTGGATCATTTCTACACTGTTTTCTTTCTCAGCTTCATTTTGTGGCATCCTGTTTGTTTTAGTAACTAATTATTTCTAAGTCTCCATATAACAAGTAAGTCAATCAACATGAACCTATTATGAAGCAGCCTACAAAGACAAGGTACTGTTCAAACACTCTGAATAAGTACAGCATATGCTAATCATCATAGAAGAAACTATGGAGATTGATTTAAAAAATAAGAGAGAGAGAATATACACAATAACATTATAAAAACAGTAAGGCATAGAAAGTTACCTTTGTACATGCAGGAGCACAATCCTTACAGTTTTTATGCACAATTGCATTGCAATCTGAAAGGAAAAACAGATCTCAAAGCCTGAAACTGAAAGGGGTCAAACATTGTAGTGCACTTTATTCTGGGACTTCAACATTTTTCCTCCTTCAGACCCACATACTGAATAGCCACAAATACGGCTTTAATTTTTCTCCTAGCTTTCTCCAGGGCTGTTTCAGGAATCAACTAGCAGAAGTCTCTTGTGAAGCAAGTGGCCATCACCTTTGTTCCCTTTCCCTGAGACCTGGGGACCCTAGTTGATTATGTAGAGAAGTATGTATCTTCAAATCCAGATAGTGTCACTCTTGAAATGGAATATTAAGCAAGTATCCTGCAGCAGATTTTCAAAAGTTACATAAATGCTACATAAAAGACAGTAGCTACTTACAAGAGCACTGCAATGACTCTTTCCCTAAGAGGGCTTTGTCGCATGCCATACACGGGATACTGCCTGAGAAGTTCCCAGTTATAAACTGATGTCTGTTCAGTTTGTCTTTGGCATCCTTATTCTTTGTCTTCAGATCCAACAGAGCAGGCAAAAGAAGAGAGATTAAAATAGATAAATAATCACCATAATATTATAACTTTAAAACATTTTTCTTTTAAGAGAAAATGGATTTTAAAACATTTATCTCCTGTCTCTGGTAACAACTGAGACAGTGGGGATGTGTGCCTGCATTAACCTAATCTGACATACAAATACATGCACCTGTAATTAAAGGTAGGTTTTAAAATTGGTTTTTACAACTCGGTTTTTGATATTCAAAGGGACATTGCTAGGTTAAAAATCATCTATTTTTGAAATAAACAAGTTTCCTTTCCTGTGTTACTAATAGCAACTTATGGCTACATTGTGCAACACATAGTCACATTGAGACACATACTCACATGAGTAGTCCCGGTAGTTAACATTAATAGAATTATTATGTGAGTAAGTGCTCACCAGCATGGACATACGTTGCACAATCTAGACTTTACATTTTTAATAATCTAACACTGAAAGTATCTGATTTACTTTTCACAACTAATTTTGTGGTTACATTTAGCACTTACTTTGGTCCCTGATTCTAAAACTCACATATGCTCAGCAGCACTTATTCACGCATTAAGTTCAACAGGACTACTCAACTGAGTAAATGCTACAGTAAAGACTACAGAATCAAGTCCTTACTGTGGATAATAAGAAAAATAGACATACATTTTTGAATACTTCTATTTTTGTATATCAAGTAAGAAAAACCTTTTTCCAAATATACTGCAGACATTTAAAACTTGAGCTAAATCACAAGACACAAGATGAGTAATAATAATTAAAAAGTGGCAAGGGAACTCAGTACTGTGAAAACAATGTTACTTTTAAAAATGAACAATATCGTTTGTCTGTACAAGGACACTGACAACATATTTGTCATAAGTTTTAAATTTAAAATGTCTTATAAATACAGTTTAAATAATTGGAAAAATCAGCCACTTGTCTTTACCTAACAGGCAAGACAGATCTGATCCCAAGCTATAATGCATTTCAGTTATGCTAACAAGCACCTGGTTATATGTAGATCCGAAATTACCTTGCACTTATTTCGTGTACTAGTCATTCTGTTCATCAGGAAGCTGAAAGTACGACTCACTTTATATTTTTCCGACTCGGATTTTGTAGGTATAATATACTTATCCCAGTCCTCCTCCTGAATCCTAAAATGTAAATCAGTGAATACAGTTCATTACACTGGACATAACATCTTAAAACGGAGCAGCAGCTGGCTAATATTCTGCTTCAACTGCTTTTAACTATCACAGGATGTATTTAGTTGGTGTTGGTCCTGCTTTGAGCAGGGGGTTGGACTAGATGACCTCCTGAGGTCTCTTCCAACCCTAATCTTCTATGATTCTATTCAGGTTTAAACCATAATTATTTAAGAGGTCAACATCAAACCAAAAAGTGACATTAGTCCCTGCATAATACTAATTAGGAACACATGCATGGGTACTGTACATAATGCGAACTATACTGCAAGTTTCCCATCATTATACTGTTATCAAACCCCTCAGCAAGCATAGTCCCATATTTTGCATGTTCCTTTGGGTAGCTCCCACATTAACGCCTTTTCCTTGCTATGTCTGATCTCAGTCAGCTGTGAAAGAAGAAGCTTGGGCTGCAGCAGCCAGGGATTCTTCTGCATGAGCACCAGCCTCATAGGTCCCAATTCAGCACAGCATTTTAGCACATGCTTAGGTGCTCTGTTGAATACAGGCTGGCCTGCTGAATCGGTCACAGATGTGTGCTGTTTCCCTCCTTCTCTCCCTAGATGGCACTGGAGCACAGGCGTGTCTCAGCGAGCCTGCGAAGCCAGGATGTTGTCCTGACTTGGGGATCAGATGGAGCACATGACACAGCAGTGGGCTCTGCAGGGAGTGTCACTGCCAGACTAAAGGGAAGATGGGATTTGGATTCCTGCACTTCACATACAACAGGATGGTTCCCTGGTATCCAGCCACATCGTTCCAGAACATGCAACTGATTTTTATTTGCAATAAATAAATGTAAAAAGGAAATTTCAATAAAAGTTGCAAAATGAAGAACTCAAAAGATGCCAGTTAAGGTTGCCTGTGAAACTGCAACTCTGCTCCCCTGTGTGTATTCATTACAATACAGTCTTTACTAACATGAACACTCAGGGGTTTTTTTAAAGTTTTTTAATGTGCACAGTAAATGAACTGGAAATCCTCTCCTCATTCAGTATGCACCTTGTACATAAACAGCTCTCATGGTGTCTGGCATACAAAATAATGTGTAGAGTAACGGTAGATGCAGCACACCTACATCTAAGGGTTGTAGGGAAAAGTGCATGACATTATAGTCAACAAACAGCAAGTGGTTACAGAAGTAAAGACTATTGCACAAACGGAGAGTGCCAAATGGACTTAAGAAATGCCAAACTTTAAAGTTGCACAGTCAGGCAACAAATGTGTTGCAAATAAAACATTTTTATAGACTATATCCAACGCTCACACTAGTATGGAGCATAACATAGCATTCTGAGCTTCATTAGTAAAAGGCACCACAATAGAACATGGTCTATTGGTCTATCTGAGTCTGCTACTTTTGAGTTATGATGAGCATTACAAAGATGTGTGCTACTAGTGTTTAACTAGTAGCATTAACATGTAAATAATGGTAGATGGATAAAAATTACACTGCAAAAATTCATCTGTGGCAAGTGTCAATACCTTTTTTCCTTCAATTGCTCTGGCAAGCTGTATGCTCGTTGTTCTACAAAACACAAAAAGTTAATGAAAACTAACGTGGTTATATTGGGATATTTACTTGTTTGAAGCACATAACCTCCACCAGGATGTAAGCTCAGTTATTATATTCTGGCATGTTGGTTGGGAATTTAGAAAGCAAAAATTATTAGAAGCAGTATTGCCCAGGATAATACAAATCGTTTAATAAACAGGTTGTATTTGACAGAGTTTGCTTGGATCTGGGTTAACATCAGAGAATGCCAGTCTTTGAAAACTGACGGATTGCTTTTAAGAAGTAAAGAAAATTAATATGGATCTTTTTCTGAGCAACCCAGTTTTTTGAATGGTTCAATCTTTCATTTTGCTTTTTAGCTATTCTTTGTAAAGTGCATACATGATTCTTTTCTATTATTTCCAAGACCAGACGTTATTTAGTTTTGTAGCGATTATCTGCAAACATATGCCTAACTTTATGTACATACATAGCCCCAACGACTTAAATGGGACTATTCCCATGCTTAAAGTTAGGTCTATGCTTAAGCCTTCTTGAATAAGGGCCCATATGAGAAAATACCCAGCAGTTCAGCAAGTAAGATAATATATTTTATCATATATGTAATGAGAATCAAATCACATTTCAGTTAATTGTCAGACCAAAGATATACAACAAGATGCTCTTCTGAAGAAATAAAGGCCATGTTCCCACAGAAAAATGAAGATAGCTTCATGCAAATTAGCACCATTGGGTTGCCATTGCAGTACTTACTGCAGGGATGGAGCAGACACATTGATTTAGAGAGTGAAATAGCCTGGAGAAGGGATCGACCACTGTTCATGCACACACCATCTACACAGCAGGGACAAATTCTTTACAGTTACATACTAGAAATATCCTCCTTTAAATACATATGTAGCCATTTTATTCCTATGTGTATTAAAAAGCTTTGGTTATTGCTATGGCAGTAGGCAGCGCATTTCCTACTTTTAGATTGTACCTCATGATGCAAGAATGAAACTCTCTTATTATGGGCTAATCCTTTTGGACTCAAAAATGCAAATCCGCAAACTCAGATTGGATTTTAATTTACAAGATCAGATTTTACAAGACCCCCATTTATGGCCAAATCCTAAACAAGACGTCAAAGCGGTGGAGCCGTGGGAGCAGGGTCGGTTTTAGGAAGTGCGGGGCCCGATTCGAACAGTTTCGACGGGGCCCTGACAGGGATGACTTAAAAAAAAAAACACGTTAAAAAAAACACGTGGGGCTTGTACTCACCAGGCCACGCTCCTAGTCTGTGGCGGCGGGTCCTTCACTCGCTCCGGGTCTTCGGCAGCACTGAAGGACCCGCCGCCAAAGTGTCACCAAAGACCCGGAGCGAGTGAAGGACCCGCTGCCAAAGACCTGGAGCGCCGCCGGGTGAGTAAAAATTAAAAAGGTGCCTCTAGCCAGGGAAGGGATTCTCTGCCACTTACCCCCCACTCTGGGCGACCCTGCCACTGGGCGCGGGGCCCTCTTAAGCGCGGGGCCCAATTCGGGGGAATTGGTGGAATTGACCTAAAGCCGGCCCTGCGTGGGAGTTCCCAGCTGCCGAGAAGTTGCACCTGGAAATCTCTGCTTCCCCTGCTTGCTGCAGAGTAGTTCCATGTAGCAGCACTGTCCATGCCAACATGTTGCAGTGGGGGGCAAGAGGTTGAGACAGAAGCAATGGGGCAGGAGGGCCAGCAATGTGCTCAGCAGATCCTTGATGACTAAGGCTCAGATTTTGTAAGGGATATTTTTAGTAAAAATAACGGACGGTCACGGGCAATAAACAAAAATCCAGGGAAGCCTGTGCCCAGCTGTGCTGCTGGGGCGGGGTGAGGAGGAGGCACAGCCAGGCACCTCCTGGAAGCCCAGATGCCCATGGGGAGTTGGAGCTCTGGGGTCCCCCTGCTGCCCAGCGGCTAGGAGCTGCTGGGGGCCTCCACCAGCAGTGGCTGAGAGCTGCAGGGCTACCTGCTGACCGCAGTCCAGCCCTGGGGCAGAAAATGTCACAGAGGTTTCTGGAAGTCACAGATTCAGTGACCTCCGTGACATAATCGTAGCCCTACTGATGACCCAAATGCATTGGCCAAATCGCCCCATGCTTGGAGAACACGGTGACTACAGACACTTCTGCAGCCTTGATGGGCTACAAAGTGACTATTTGTGTCCCATAGCTTGGGAAGAAGGATGATTCTAGCTCTCCCAAGCCCCAGGTAAACCCCTATTAGTTTACTCTGACTTTATATAGGAGGTCAGGGTTTAGGCCTGATTACGGCAAAGCTCTTAACCATGCTTAACTTTACGCAGTTGCTGCAGTCCCACTGACATTACCAGGACTTAAACACATGCTTAAGTGCTTTGCTGAATTGAGGGCTTTAGATCTTATGGGACATACACCCTTGTTCCTCGTCTGCTTTTTTAGACTTCTCAGATAATCTGCAGGATGAAAAATTGCTAAAAATAAAGTTACATTTAAAAAAAATCAATACAAATACTTGTAAACACCCCAGGTGTTGCAGATCGTGCACAAAAGAGTTCTGAGTAGAAACAAAGCTTTAATGTGGATTTGAGGGACAAAAAACAACAAATTTGAAAAAATGTTCACCTATATTTTAACCAAGATTGTTGTTGCTGTTTTTTGCATTCTGCTATTAAGCATCACGTGAAAAATGCCCCAATCCTGCAAAAGTTTAAGCATGTGTTTAACTTTGAAATCAATGGTCCTGCAAGTTAAACCTGTGAGTGAGTCTTCCCAAGACACAGGCCTAAATAAAATAAAGAAGCTTCTGGAGCCAATTCAGGATAGCACTTAAGCACACGCCTCACTTTAAGTGCATACTTAAAGTTATGCTTAAGTGCTGTCTCCGCACCTTGAAGTCTTTAAACCGTGATTTGAGGACTTCACTAGCTCAGATATAGGTTAGGGCAGGGGTAGGCAACCTATGGCACACGTGCCAAAGGTGGCATGCAAGCTGATTTTCATTGGCACTCACACTGCCCGGGTCCTGGCCACTGGTCTGGGGGACTCTGCATTTTAATTTAATTTTAAATGAAGCTTCTTAAACATTTTCAAAATCTTATTTACTTTACATACAACAATAGTTTAGTTATATATTACAGACTTATAGAAAGAGATCTTCTAAAAACGTTAAAATGTATTACTGGCATGTGAAACCTTAAATTAGAGTGAATAAATGAAGACTCTGCACACCACTTCTGAAAGGTTGCCGACCCCTGGGTTAGGGGTTTGTTACAGGAGTGGGTGGGTGAGATTCTGTGGCCTGCATTGTGCAAGAGGTCAGACTAGATGATCATAATAGTCCCTTCTGACCTTAAAGTCTATGACTCTGACTCTATGACTCTAATAAGGAGGCTTTACCTAAATGACACAGCACATATTAGAAAAAAAATACACAACCATTTCCAACCCAGATTTTCTCATGCTTATAGCTTGAAGTAAGAATTTTCCATTTGGAAGAAAATCAGGTTTGTTCTTATTCCAAAAGTAATTTAAAAAAAAACAAAGAAAATGGATTCTATTGAAAACAAACTGTTTTTCAGAAATGTGATTATGAATAAGTTTTAGTACATATCTCATACTTTACATCATTTTATGGATTTCTATTGTAGCATGTTACATAGCTTTCTCCAAGGAAAGCCTGGGTTGTTTGCTAAAAATAAACAAACAAACAAACAAACAAAAAAACCCCTTAAAATAGAAGGCTGCTAGAAATAATTTTTAACATCTTGCAGGCAGCACATAAGCAGAACAGTTGATTATGTAACACGGGACTACGTTGTAAGGTTCTTACAAGTTTTCCTCAGTTCTCCAAGGGTGGGCAAACACCTATTAACTTCAATAGAAATCTGTCTGAGTTAGGACTGAATTGGAGCAAAGGATCAGATTATCCCTACCATGGTAAAACATGCAGAATAGAAACAGAGGGAAGGCAGGTCTGTGAGAATCCCCTCACAATGAATCCACATATCATCCCATGAAGAGGGTGGTGTTTGCTCTCCTGCTTGTGGAAAAGGTCACAGCTTACACACAAACCTCACAGATTCCCAAGGATCTGCAGGATGCGGGGACCTTGTGCACAGAGGGCCTGTGCCT